TATATATATATATATATATATATATATATATATATAGTAAAATATTTATTACATTAAGGTAAAGGTTCTCCCTGCACATATGTGTTTGTTTGTAGTCTAGTGCTTTAACCACTATATCAACCTGGCTCTCTAAAAAAGGAGGGTATTTTTAAAATAATATATTGAAAGAACATCAAATGTCCATTGGTTCAAGAGCCTCTTTGGATTCCATTCATCTGAAAGTGCTGAAAGTCAGTCCGTAAAATAGAGGGCACCCAGGATCTTGATTCTGAGAGGTTTCAGGATCTTAAATCACTGCTATGCTGGTCTTTGATTATAATAAAGGTTGGATCTTTTGGATGTAGCATTATTGTGAGTTACATATGACAGAGGCAGAAATGGGAAATGTATAACCATGGTAGAATTCTATAGTGATATGGGTGGCATATACCCAGGATATTTAATAAGAAAGAATGATTCTTACAATAGCTTACATTCTGTGATACCATTAATGCTATCAAATATCAACTTTGGCCTATCCCAAGTCCTTGGGAAGGATTCACTAGCTGGATAAAAATGCCAAATCCACGTTTTGGCTGACTATGCAATGAACCACAATAACCATAGTAATTATTGGTTATCCAAAGAAACTCTTGTTGATATGAAAAAGTATAGCATTGTATAAACTTATTAACATATATGCTATGATAAAAAAGAGAAAATTTCTATTCAAGTTGCAAGAAAATAAGCTTATTAAAATCAAAGAACTGGAAAGAGCCATTAAAATGACTTTAATGACCCCTTTCATTTCTCTAATGCTAAGAAGCTAATTTCTGTTTCCTGATTAAAATCATTAAGTTAAATAAATAAATGATTGTACAATCATTTATGTAAGAATCCAAATTAAAGAATATCTATGTAAGAACCCAAATTAAAATATCCCTGACAGCCTCTGCCTTTCTAGCAATGGGAGTGATATAATATCAGCATTATTATAGCATCTGTTTGAAGATCATGTTTGTGATTCACTAGAAAACACTTCTGAGCCTCAATCGGTGTCTGTTGGACAAAGTATCTCCTAAAAATGCCTAAATGAGCTATAACTTTTCTTGGTTTGTATTATTTTACAGCATACAACAAAAGGGAGAAAAGAACCCAAAGGTAAACATAGGATATGGATTAGCTTTGATTAAAGCCCATCCAGATGTCTCAAGCAAATGAAATGTGTCATGTAAGACAGAGGAAACAAAAGGTGAAAGACCATATGGCTAAGAAGAAAAGAAAATTCTTTCACAGTTAGGGAATCGGTGATTGAGCATGAGCACAAAGCAAATTGGCAGAACTTCTAGCTGACAGTTTTCTAAGCTCAGATGCACAACCATTTATGTTCTATCACAATCATGATTTTTGCTGAGATTTTGAAAGGGGAATAAAACACATCACTTGGTGAGTAAATTGATTCTGGGCTTTAATGAGCTATTAGTTTGTCATAATTTTTTTAAACCAGATGTTTTCCCAAATTTGGTGGCTTCCTGATATACTGGTCCATATTACCCAAAGTTCCAGGTCAGAGGAATATTGCTCTAGAGAACTTTTGTAGAACCATTGGCATCACAGTATAATGTCCTTTTAGTACATTAATACATTAACTCTTTCATGTTCTAGGCATGAATAGTACCTGGCCACACAAACATTAAGCTTTTCTGTAGGAAACATTTTATCTTTTCTACATTATTCAGAGGGGTAGTGAATTTAAATTGAAATTCTATGTATAACAGAAAAGCCAAAAATCTAAAATCTCCTGTGAGCTCGATTCCTGGTGACTACATAATATGTATGTTTATATTGTTCTCATGGTAATGGTTTGGCATTGCCTTCTGATGAATTTCTTTTTTAAAAATTCTAATTTAGGCTACCTCCAGTACATCTACTAGGCATGCTGAGGGTTTGCAGACTGGTATTTTGTGGCAGCATTATGCATTCATATTGACTGGCATACAGAACAATCTTTTAACCAGGGCAGCAGCAATATTATTTTTATTTATTTGTACCCTATCTTTATTATTTTAACAAATAATTTAAGATGATGAATGTCCACCACACTTTCCTCCTCTGTATTTCCCCAAAACAATCCTGAGAGGTGGATTCGGCTGAGAGAAAATAACCGGCCCAAAGTCACCCTGCTGGCTTTCATGGCTAAAACATATAGAGCTTAGTTTTGGTAAGAGCTTTGGGATAAGTGTCTTAGAAGTGAGTAGTTAGGGCTATGCCTTATACAAGGATTTACAAATGATGTCACTGAACTGTTCTCTTTGCTGAGCAAAGGTGTTTTTCATTTGGATGAATATTGAAGGAGCCTCTTTAAATCACAGGGAAATAAAAGGAATGCCTCCTAGTAAGTCTTTGGATTAAGTTTTAAGCATCATGTGAATTTCAATGGAAAAAGTTACTGCCTGGGTAGGCATTTTCTGTACCTTTTTTATCAGCTAATATAGCTGCAAAGGCAGAAGAAAATTTTTGTGCTTAGACGTGCTCAATCTTTATTTTGTTCTTTGAGCTAAGAAAGCAAAATTGTTTAGCCCTCTTCAAATTAGAAAAGCATATGCTAGGGGAAAGGAAGATTATGCATTAATCTCTCCAGAAGAGAAATGACCATGAAAATTATACTAGCTTGCAATTTCTACAAAAGGCAAACAAAACAAAAACATATCTCAATAAATATTCTGATGCATTGCTTAATTTGCAGTAATGAAATATCTTTTAAAAAGATATATAATTTTTTTGTTATGCAATCTGTAAGTGTTATGCTATTTTTTAAAATTTAAACATTTGTTTTAGAGTCTAGGCCATGTATTTGTTTCTGAAGTGGGAAAGGTACAATACAGCTTTTACTCAGTGGTGGGATTCAGCCAGTTCACACCACTTCGGGAGAACCAGCTGTTAACTTTCTGAATAGTTTGGCAAACTGGTTGTTGGAAGAAATCATTAGGACAGAGAACCAGTTATTAAATTACTTGAATCCCACCACTGCTTTTACTGCCTAACTTTCATGAAGGGAACAATTTATCTGAAATGAATCGACTGTCAATATCATTGTAGAGCAGATTCCAGATATTTCAAAGTTAGTGATGTGGGTTTTTTTTCCTTTTATTTGCTAAATATTTTGGAGATTTCAATGGTGGATTAGAGATGTTACCAAATATACCAGCCTCCCCTTGTTGTGCCAGATTGATTTGGCAAATAATCTTTATTTTTATCTAATCAGAAACGAGCCTCTAAATAAGCCATCAATTAATGAAAAATTAGCGTGTGAGTTTTCAAATAATCAAAGCTTCTCCCTTCTTTCTCGTGTTACTTCATTTTGTTTGTTTCTTTAGGAACCATTTTGCCAAAATACAAATAGATTTGGAAGCAGATGACTCATAAAATATTATTCAAATTACAGTATTTCTGTCAAAGCTTAGATATCTCCACAATCATATTGTTCTCACAATAACTTTCATTAAAGCTCAATGTATTGATTGATTTCTTTTCCTGAAAAGGATTCGTAGCTTTTTCTTACACTTTTGGAATTAAGCATCAGGGTAGGCTGTTGGGGTGTTTTAGTGTAGGAACATTATTCAAAGAATGATATCCTGGGAAGGGCACTCTACTTTTTGAATATAGGATGAGGTTAATACCCATTTTGTAAGGGTAAGTGCACTAAAGGAAGAGATGAATACATAAAACATCTGACCCCAATATTTTTGGCTTCAAAGCACAATTCCTAGCCCCCTCTGTCTACTGATCATCTTGGTTGAGGCTGATGGGAGTCCTATCGAAGACATAGTTGAGGAAGGCTGCACTATAACAAGTAGGGTGCATTCAGTATAAGCCTTAACATCTATGGAGAATTAATGAGTGGGTCGTGAGTAAAAACCACGCTAGCAGATTGACTTGTTCCTCAACCATTTACAGTTTAACGAGAACCAACCAACCAACCCGTTTGTCACGAAGATGTGTTTCCACAGAAGCCAATTCGGTCCAAGAAATAAGAACCGCAGTTTACTGTCGGCTTATCAAGCATTCGGAACAATAGATACTATAAACGGAATATTGATATACCATCAGCCATCCAGGCGGTTTTCATTCCTGTGCACGGCGGGCCAGGAAAAAGCGAGATTCCTTTATATTCAAGTGTAGCTGCTACTGACAAACACTTCCAGACAGCCTTTTTTGGAAACAATCACCTGGATCATTTAATAACCTCTTGAAAGGAGGAGGGCGACGGGAATAGAAATGGGGGTGCGGCCGCGGCGGCAGGCAGGGAAAGAAGACTTCGGTTTAGCTGAGGTGGGGAATAAAGACTCACCTGAAAATATCATTTGGACTCGACATCAGCAGACATTCTCACCTGCCGACCTCATACAGATTTCCAAGCGGCTTCATAGCAAGGCGTCGAAAAGCCAGACCCAGGGACCGCCCTCTAATGCTGGCGTCTTTTGGGGAGTCGAGGGGACGGGAACTGGCTACGTAGGCGTGTCTTGCGGAAACAGATAGGTTCGCGCCGGCTCTTTTGCAGAGGTTTGGTAAGGCGAGTACTATGTACGGCTTATTAGTTACGGAGTCCTGTTCTTCCCCGCCCCCCAGCAAAGCTGCTTTGTATTCCACTTTGAGCGATTCGTCTCATCTCTCCACCACCTCTACTACCACCACCACCAGCAGCAATCATCATTGCCGAATACGACATTGGTGTTCTAGAATGCGGTGTCGCACTCCGATCCCACGAGCATATCGAAGTGCGCTTGTTTGCTAGCGAAGCAGCCTGTCCCTCCTCGTGCCAGACTATATGGAACTTGCCTAAATGTTCTCTGGTTGAGGCGGCTGGCAGGCAAATTTGGTTGCATCTTGCGAGACCCGCTTTCCGGCCTTGTGGAAGACCGGATTTAAAAAAAAACAAACCAAAACAGAATGTAGGAAAACGAAAGCAGTGCTGGCAATGATCTCTGGGGTGATCCTTTGTGGGCCTCAACAATTTCAATGAGCTGATAATTTATTTAAAGAATGCAATAATTTTGGGGCCACTTAAGTCCATTGAGCTCTGGCAGAAAAGATGCTTATATTAACAGAAAAGACCCTTCCCAATTCCCTTCCAACCTGCAAATCCTGAATTATGGGCCTTTCCTCATCACTGCTTTCCAATGGTCTTCATCCCTCCTTGAGTTGGCAGAAAACTCTTATCAGCAAATATTCCTGCCTTCTTGCTCTATTTTAAGTCATCTAATTTCTCTCCAAAGTAATAGGTGACAAAGACTTACACCTAGTGACTATCCTTTGACAGTATTATATGGGGGGGGGGGGGAGAGAGAGAGAGCAGGAAAAATATTAACAGGAGCAGGGAAAATATTAATACCTGTACAGCATAGGATAGCAATAGCAGTAGACTTTCAGCCCTCTCTAAGCGGTTTACAGAGAGTCAGCATATTGCCCCCAACAATCTG